GTTCAAACCCACCAGCCACTCCTCGGAAGGAAGGTTGGGCAATCCTACTTCTGTAGTGATACTGCCTCGGAAATGCAAGGAGGGGTCGCTATGAGTCAGGGCCGACTCGACAGCACATAACAACAACAACAACAACAATCTTGCCTCTTACTGTAACAAAGACAAATGGAATTATAACCATAGGCATATTGTTAGGGAACATGTAGTTGGCTCTGACTCATAGTGACTCTATGTACAACAGAATGAAACACTGCCCGGTCCTGCACCATCCTCACAATCCTTATTTTGCTTGAGTCTATTGTTACAGTCACTGTGTCAATCCATCTTGTTGAGAGTCTTCCCTGTCTTTGCTGACCCTCTACTTTATCAAACTGGCCACTGAAAACCTTATGAATAGCAGTGAAACACTGCCTGATATATTACTGGAAAATTTTATGAAAACCATAGGCATAAAACCAAACCAAACCAAACACATTGCGATCAAGTTGGTTCCGACTCATAGCGACCCCTCCTTGGGTTTCCAAGGTGGTGTCTCTACTGAAGTAGATTGCCAAATCTTCCTTCCAAGGAGTGGCTTGAACGACCTTCCAAGGTCGTTTTGAACCGTCAGCCTTCTGGTTAGCAGTCAAATGCCTTAGACACTACACCACCAGGTTAGGATTTACAATATATATATTGTGTGTGTGTGTATATATATATATATATATATACACACATATATATATATATACACACACATACATACATATGTGTGTGTGTGTGTGTGTATATGTATAATAAATACTAACTTCTATTCATAAATTTTCAGTGGCCAGCTTGGTAAAGGAGAGGGTGAGCGAAGAAGGGGAAGACACTCAACAAGATGGATCGACACAGTGGCTACTACAATGGACTCAAGCATAATGAGAATTGTGAGGATGGCGCAGGACCTGGCAGTGTTTCATTCTGTTGTACATACAGTCGCTTTGAGTCAGAGCCAACAACATAGTACCTAACAACAACATGTCTATTGTTATAATCCCATCTGTCTTTGTGTTATATAGAGAGAGCTATGGTGGCATAGTGCCTAAGGCATTTAACTACGTAGTGCCTAAGGTATTTGACTACTAATCAGAAGGTTGGCAGTTCAAACCCACCAGCCACTCCGTGGAAGGAAGACTGGGCAATCTACTTCAGTCAAGATTTACAACCTTGAAAATCCAAAGGGAGTCGCTGTGAGTCAGAATCAACTTGATGGCAGTGAATTTGTTTATGAATTGTGATTTCAGTACTCTTTCCACTTCCTCCCTGTGGTTACCTTTTCCTGTGTCCTTCTTTCCTATGCGTTCCTGTCCTCTGAGTTATCTTCCTGTACAAATATGGCCCTTCTGATCTCCCATGGTTGATTATTCTAAGGAGTGTACCTCTCAAAAGACCAAACTCATTGTCATCGAGTAGATTTTGACTCATAGCAACCCCCTTTGGGTTTCCGAGGTGGTACATCTTTATGGAAGTAGATTGCCCAATCTTCCCTCCATGGAGTGGCTGGCGGGTTTGAACTGCTAACCTTCTGGTTAGCAGTCAAATGCCTTAAGCACTGCAGCACCAGAACCCCTTAGGGAATGTATGTCACCTTATGTGCCTATCAACTGTTTGACTGGAAGCCACAGGAGTGAGTTTAATTCCAGGTCTGAAGGGTGAGTGGGGGCCATACTCTCTGGGGTTTCACCAGTCTCCATCAGACTAGTAAGCCTGGTCTTTTTTTTTTTTTTTATGATTTTGAGTTTTGTTCCACATTTTTGTCCCATCTCTATCGAGGGTCTCCTATTTTGACCTCTTGCTGAGTGGTTGGCAGTGGTAGCTGGGCACCATGTAGTTCTTCAGTCTCAGGGTCATGTAGGCTGAAGTTCGCATAGTCCACTAGTTCCTTGGACTAATTGTCTTCATGAGTCTTTGATTTTCTTCATTCTTCTTTGCTCTGGACAAGAAGAGACTAACTGTTCCATCTTAGTTGGCTGCTTACAAGGTCTTAAGACCCCAGTAGCTACTCACCAAAGTAGGATGTAGAACAATGTTTTTGTGTAGTATGTTATGCCAATTGAGTTTGATGTCCCCTGCGACCATGGTCCTGAGCCCACAGGTCTAACAACTTGCTTCCTTAGGGTGATTGGCTATGGCTAAGAAGTTATCATAATTATGCCCCATTAGCTCTATTATATATATATATATATATATATATATGGACATTCTTATAGCACATACAAATATGTATGTAGAAATATTGCCTGTCAAACTTACATATGATCATGGGTATATTCCCTTTTGCCTAGAAATAGCTGATAATTCAACCTGTCTACCTATGTATCTGTCGATTAATGTTTCTTATTATTGATAATGCAGTACTATCTATGGAAAAGTGTTTATCTTTGTTGTCTGTACCTCTTGCGCACCTCTCTGTGTCTTCCTCTCCCATAGTGTTATTGTGTTGTTCACTCGCTTTTGGTATATTCTCTTTCCCTTCACCCAAATCAATAATTATCTCTTACCTATCTAGCAATTTTCCCTCCCCTCCTCTCCCACCCCTGGTAACCAACAAAGAAAATTTCCTTCCATATTTCCTTGACCTTTTACAATATTACAACACATATTTTTTGACACATAATTCAATCTATAACATCCACTGATGTGGAAACAAATAGGCAAGGATTCCTTGCTTGAGGCCTCTAGTGGCCCTACCCAGAGCTGGGGAAGGGAGGAGGTTCCTAGCAATCAGTGTAGAGCAGGGCTGACCTGAGTTCAGAAATAAATATTTGTTACAGAAGCAAAATAATCCGTAAAGAAACCGTGATTCTTAAAGAATCCCCGGTATTTCTGTGGGAGCTCTGGTTGTTGTAGTGCCTAAGGCATTTGACTGCTGACCAGAAGGCTGGTGGTTCACACCCCGCAGCCACACCTCAGAAGAAAGATTGGGTGATCTACTTCCCTAGTGATGCCGCCTCGGAGACCCAAGGAGGGGTCACTATGAGTTGGATCCTACTCAATGGCTGGGAGTTTGGTGTTTTTTTTTTTTTTTTTCAGAAGATCTCTAAAAGTCCTAGTTTTTAATTTTCTAGAACCAAGCACTTTTTGAAGGTCAGAACTGTGCAAAGGTGGAATAATGATAATGATAATAGTAAAAATAAATAATTCATGTTTTGGTAAATTCTAAAAGATCAGACTGGCTTAATATGGACATATAAAGCTTTGACTCATCTTCTGTATTTGTCCTGGAAGACTAGAATATAAACATTTTCCCTCACCTCCTGAGAAGCTTTGAATTAAACTTCCTCAAGGACTGGGATAACCAGTTTTTTGATTGATTCAGTATCTGGGTCTAACCCAGAGTATCTGAACTAGTTGCCAACATTTAAAAAACAAGGCATTTCATACAAAGCTGAAGGTAGAGGGCCTCAGATAAATGAAGGATCTGGCAACAACACATCTTCATTTCTGCACAGCAACAGGTGGCTAGCGATGATACCTGTGCCCTGTGGCTGCTACAGGCCTCTGCTGGGACCCAGCATTCCTTCATTCCATCTGCCAGTCTCTGTGAGTGATGCCTGGTTTGGCGATAGGTGTCATAGATTGAACTGTGTCCCTCCCAGATATGCATTTGGAATCCTAAAGGTTCTAATTCCCTTTGGGAATAAGGTTTTTCTTTGTTATGTTAATGGCACCATATCAGTTTGTTGTTGTTGTTGTTATGTGCCGTCCAGTTGGACCTGACTCACAGCAACCCCTCCTCGGGTTTCCGAGTAAGGAAGTAGATTGCCCAACCTTCCTTCTGAGGAGTGGCTGGTGGGTTTGAATCGCCAGCCTT